CCCTCCCGCGCTAGCCTAAGGGCCACCTTAGCAAAGCGCATCCCAGGCTGCATAGCCGCACTACCCTACCCAACCATACCACACATAAACATGACACTACCCCCGGGGTTTACACAGACGAGCCGGCGAAGCAAGAAGAGCGCCAGAAGAAAGGGCCCTAGCCGGCGGGGCCCAGCCAGGACAAAAGGAGGTCCCACAAAGCGCCTACACCGGCCGCATTTGCGGTCGGGGTAGACGACGGATGGGGCCCACCTACGAAGGCTGTCCAGGCCTACACGAGATGAGGCAGGATAAAGAGGGATAATCCCCCTCGATCCCAAATCATTGAGGCCAATTTCTAGCCATAGAATAATGGCGCGGTGAGTTGTTCGTCACGATCACAGAGTACCCAATTCATAGAATCCAATTGGGTACTCTGTGGTCACGATCGTGACGCAGAACGCACCCCCACCCCGTCCTTCCCGAGTTTGCGATGGGAAAATTCGCGTGAATGGGGAGATTAAAGCGAACCAGTGGATGAATTTATTAATATGATTTTATCTTATTTTTAGCGATTTTAATGTATGAAACGGCATCGCGTCTCGTTACCTTTTGTTTTATGTGTTTATTGGGAATCTAACCTAAAATGCTTAAGGTAAAACCTTTGTTTATTTGATCGCACCGTACAAATAATGTTTGTGATTCGTAGGAAAGGGGGCAGCTAAAATTCGAAGACAAATGGCCTTACATGGGCCCGATCGTTTTGAAATTACTGAAACAGGAACCTGTTTCCCCTGCCGAATGGCAGGAGTTATTTTACGATGTACACTTGGTGTGTTTGTGGGACGAAAAGGGACCGATTAAGCTTAGAGACCACCTGCACGAGGATATCGTACAGTTTATAAAACAGGCTCAAGCTAGAGTTCTAGCGCACAGACAAGAGGAGGCTTTGCTTAAGGCTTATATAGCGGAATGGAGGAAATTTTTTACTCAGTGTAATTACCTTCCTACTCCTTTCCGGCAACTGGAAAGCAGCTTGCAGGGCAAACCCACGTCCGGTGGGTCCAGTATGCAGAGCAACAGCGGGAAAAAGGGGTCTTCGGATGAGAGCATTGTCAGGAAGTTAATGTTGGATTCTTGGAACGAAAGTATATTTAGTGATATTAAGCATCGATTGCAGGACAGTGCCATGAAGTTAGTGCATGCTGAGAGGAATGGGGAGGCTTTTGATTCCCAGTTGGTTATTGGTAAGGCGTTTTAAAGTAACCAATTTTTTATAATTTATACTTTTGGTGACTTTGCACATTTATTATCACATTTCTATAAAGCTTTGTTGTAAAGCATTACTGACAAAGTGAATATGGCTAAAACTTTTTTTGGTTTAGAAAACACTCCAATTTTTTTTTTACGAAAATAGAGGAAAAGCCGTGTCATTTTTTCAAAATTTTCTATTTAGGGTTGTCGAAATAAAGCAGAAATATTTAAAGTGTACGAATTATTGCAAATGTTCCCAAGTCCCTTTCGATCACACAAAATTTCGTCCGGCAGGTGTGCGTGAATCGTACGTCAACCTGTGCTCCAACACCGAGGACAGACTTCAGATCTACCGGGAGAACTTCGAGGCGGCCTACATACAGAGCACGGATCTGTTCTACCGCATGAAGGCCCCCGAGCAGTTGGCCACGAATGGAGTGCAAGCTTACATGCGCTACGCTGACTCCAAACTACGCGAAGAGGAGACACGGGCGCAGCGCTACCTAGAAGCGGGGAGTAACGGCGTCATACAGTGCTGCGTCAAGGTCCTGGTGGGCAACGCCCTGCCGGTGCTCCTGGCCGAGTGCGCCCCCCTGATAAAGGCCGGCGAGACGGAGAGGCTACAGTTGATGTTCCGCTTACTAGAAAGGGTGCCTGAAGGCGTCCAGCCCATGCTTAGGGAATTGGAGAATCACATAACGCAGGCGGGACTAGCCGATATGGTCGCCGCCGCCGATATAATCACCCAGGACTCGGAAAAGTACGTGGAGAGGCTCCTGGAACTGTTCAGGAAGTTCAGTAAGTTGGTGCACGAGGCATTTTCGGACGACCCGAGGTTCCTAACCGCCAGGGACAAGGCCTTCAAGGCCGTCGTTAACGATACGACTGTGTTCAGGTTGGAGTTGGGGACGGGGAGGAACCTGGGGGCGAAGACGGTCGCCCCGGAGAGCAAGTGTCCCGAGTTGCTGGCGAACTACTGCGACATGCTGTTGAGGAGGACGCCGTTGTCCAAAAGGCTGACTAGTGAGGAGATCGAATCTAGGCTAAGGGATGTATTACTAGTTTTAAAGTACGTTTCTAATAAGGACGTTTTCATGAGGTACCACAAGGCCCACCTGACGAGGAGGCTGATCCTGGATGCCAGGTGAGCGATTTTTACAGTAAGGATGCAGACGTTATTTTAAATCGCAAATTTTTGGCAGTGCCGATAGCGAGAAGGAAGAAGACATGGTGGAATGGCTGAGGGAGGTGGGTATGCCGGCGGACTACGTCAACAAGCTGGCCCGGATGTTCCAAGACATAAAGGTTAGCGAGGACCTGAACGGCCAATTCCGGACGTCCACCGCCAGACACGACGCCATCAACATTAAAATATTAAATGCCGGCGCTTGGGCTAGGGGCTCGGAGAGGGTGACCGTTAGCTTGCCCGTCGAACTGGAGGATTACATCCCGGAAGTCGAGGACTTCTACAAGAAGAAACACTCCGGAAGGAAGCTGCAGTGGTAATTTACGTTTGAATTTGTTTTGTTTCGCAAAGTTCTCTGAAAATATATTTGCGTTTAAGGTATCATCATATGAGTAACGGAACGATAACGTTCACCACGAACGGAGGCAAATTCGACCTGGACGTGACGACTTTCCAGATGGCCGTCCTGTTCGCGTGGAATCAGAGGCCCCACGATAAAGTTAGTTACGAGAACTTGCGACTAGCCACGGAATTGCCGGACGGGGAGTTGAGGAGAACGCTCTGGTCCTTGGTGGCGTTTCCCAAACTGAAACGTCAGTTACTGTTGTTTGCTCCAAACGTGGCCGCCCCTAAAGACTTCGGCGAGCACTCGTTGTTCTGGATCAACCAAGACTTCGCGCTTATCAAAAACGGGAAACCGCAGAAAAGAGGAAAAGTTAGTATTCGGAGAGAGTTTGAGTTGTTTTACGGTTTTATTTTTTTTTTTTTTAGGTTAATTTAATAGGACGCTTGCAGTTAAGTACGGAAAGATCGCAGGTTGAGGATAACCAGTCTATCGTACAACTGAGGATTCTCAGGACTCAGGAGGCAATAATAAAGATTTTGAAAATGAGGAAGAAAATATCGAATGCCGCTTTGCAATCCGAACTGGTCGATATTTTGAAAAATATGTTCTTACCTTCCAAAAAAATGATTAAAGAACAGCTCGAGTGGCTAATCGAGCATAAGTATATGAAAAGGGATGATGATGATATTAATACCTTTATTTATATGGCATAAGTTGTTATTATTGTAATTAAAATTATTGTTATATAATTCGACTTTTTATTTCAAATTAAATTATATTTTTTAAATACAATGGGTTTTTTACTTATGATATAACATTTTTTCTAAGGTATTTTAAGTAGAATTTTTCCTAATTTAGAAGTTTCCTTGTTTGTGAATAATAGGTTATAATTTAACAACGTAAAAAATAACCTCACATTTATGCGCATCGTGAAAAATAGACTTTTTAACAACGTTACCTTGACAACTTGTTTTCAAATAATTGACATTGACAGTTGATAAATGGGTTAAGTCTACTGTCTATTATTTGTTTGTTTAATCAAATTTTTTGAATTAAACCAACGACCTTATCAAATAACTCATATAATGCATGGAAGCCCAGAGAAAGTCGCTCCAAAATGGCATCATCCATTGGAAGTAATGAAACTCCATAAATTAAAACAGAAAAAGAAAGCCCTGCAAGCCAGAATCAACGGAAAAGCTCCAAACAACTCGATCGATGGTGCGAATAAAACTTCTTTTGACGAAGTGTTTTCAGCCAAGAAACGAAAAAATCCTTTCGTAAAGGATACCGACTGTAAGAAAAGCAAAACCGAACCTTGCGTACTGGACGAATCCACCGATCAAACATTATTTAAACTTCTCCACCAAAATGCCCCTGGTCCTTCAACGAACGTCACACTCACCTCATTTAACAACATACTCAGTAAGATTGACGCGGAAGAAAAAGAAATAGTGGAAGTTGTAAAAGCTACAGGAGAGAAATGGTTACCCATCGATTGGACTTTAAAGTATAAAGCGAGATTATTATCGACCAACCCATTTCCTTGGAACCAGAAACTGAAGATTAGCGAGGAGGCCAGTGGCGTTACAGCTTTCACCCGCTGCCTAGACAGTAACACAGCAACAACACTTGACACATCGCCAAATGCAAAGTTCCATCAATGCTGCCTGTACTGGCAGCAACCGTGTCTGCCCTGGCTCAATTTATTTCCACGCAGCAGCATGAAGGCTCAACCAACAGGAAACAATTTCACTTTAAACAGTACAATAAGAGAAAGTTTGCAATCGGCTTGGTGTGACAGCTTACGTTCTTTGTACCAGTTGATTAGAACCAGACAATGTCCATACTTTTACGCCTGCGCTAATAACTTTACGGTACTGTTTCGTGCCGCGGGAATATGTGGTTTTAGCGACGTCCACGTGTTAATAACTCCGACGACTCGAGGTTTTCGGCAAATGTTGAAGCAGGAAGATATCGAGTTTGTTATGCCTTTGAAGAAGAAACGGATTTCGGATTCGGGTTATGAAACGGATTCTACCGTCAGCGAGCAGGAAAGTGTATGTGAGAAAGCGTTGGAGGAAGAAGAGATGCCCGACGAGAACTGGTTGAAAAGTATGGGTATTAACGCTGAAGACATCAAGCAGATCAATTATATGCAGGTATGTTTTATTATCGTCCCTTTTAATTCGTTAAATTATTGTAATATTAAAAATTGTGGAAAATTTCTTAAGCATCCATTTGTAGGAGAAAATAATCCACAAAGCCGAATGCGAAGTCGATAACAGCGAGCAAAGCCTGGTTGTGGTTCAGGGCGTAGAGGTCCATGCCTTGTATAACTTCCTATTGAACTGTAAAAGCGCGACAGCTTTCACAGGTCCACTGGCAGGCGTACCCCCGACACTCCTGGCCCCGGTGGCATTCCACGGTGCTTCCTTGCAGTCTCTCAAAGTGCGTGATAACAAAGTGAATTTAGACGGGGCAGATTATTACTGTTTAGACATATCGGGGCCCATTTTACCCACGACGACTCACAATTTATTCTCCATTAATCCTCCGGAGCATAGCGTAACGATGACTTTTAACGGTATCGCTAACACTGAACCGTTCAGTAAAGTTCAGAACGCGGAGAGAAAGTCCGACATTGAAAATAAGGGTAGTGTAGTGTTCGGCAAAGAGAATTTATCGGATTGCGGGCTTTTGCCGAAAGTACTTAAACATTTCTGTGCGGCCGATGTTAAATATGTTACGAACGTGGAGTGTTTGAAGTATACTAGTGATAATAAGACCTATATGTGGTCATAACGTGAAATTATGTTCGGTAATTTTAAGGGTCAGAATCGACAGTATGTAATTTTTATAACTGATTGTGTAAAACATTTGTTATAGTTTTCGAACGACAGTTGTCCGTTGAATAAATTATTGTAGTTGTTTCTTCGTTTTTTTATCACCTGAATTTCCTATTTTAAATCAATATTCCGAGAAACGCTTGGAAACTTTAAATTTGATGCATAAAAGGGAGCGAATAAGTTAAAAAAATTTGTATTTCTCATACATATTTATACAAAACAGTAACAATATCTGTGCTATAGTCATTAACTATACATCCTCAGCATTCCTTTTTAAAAACTTAAGATAATCCTCAAACGCCTTGACTTTCCTTTCTTCAATTTCCATTTTTTTAGTCATTAATGCCATTCGGTCCTCGTGTCTTTTCTGTTTCTCACTTTTTATACAAGAGCACTTTTTCTTTGTGATTAAATCTTTATTGCCGTCACTAACAGAGTTTTCTTGAAGCTTTCCAATTTTTACAGAACTACTATTTGAGTTGGCAATTATATATCTAAACTGCGGATCGTTTGCTATAATGTCGTCTAACTCGTTGAAGAATTCGAACTTCCCCGGTCCCCTATTATCATATTTATGTTGTCGATAGACCCTTAGTAAATTTTTCCATTTAATTTCACATTTTTCGGGTGCTTTGTTTATGCCAATTTTCGCTAACTCTTCGGAAATTAAAATCCACTGACCTTTCTTCTTTTTGAAACATCTGAATTTGTCTTTGTGTAGAGAAAATATGTTTATAAGTGCCAGTGTTTCATTTTGGGTCCAAATAGTAATATTATTCCAGTTTTTAGGCGGCGCTTCTTCGAATACAATTTCATCGTCGTCATCGCTTGCTTCTATAAATTCAAAATTATTAAATATAAAAAAATATTACTGATTCTCGTTCTTAAATTATTTACCAGTTCGCTTTGATTTCTGAGGCACCAAAATACGATAATGACATTTCTTCACAGGATCATACACTTCTACCGAATTCATCTGATCTTGATCAACTTTGCGTTCTTTTGATAATCCCTAAATTTTAAGTAACCTTTCAACTTTCAAATGATTAATTATTTTGTGTTTTAAGGCTTATCACAAATGTATAATAGTAGTTATTTATCATTATAAATTCAACGTAACTGGAAAATATTTTATAGGGAATTTTATTTTTTAAATAAATGTATATCTAGCGTAGTTCTGACTGGTAAACAATGAGAGGTAGAACTACTATGTAAGTACAACGTCCTGCAATATATTTTTTTTAGATTTATGCATTTAATCCCAAAAATTTATATTAGTTTATATATCTGTTATCATATATTATACGACGTTGGTGTTAACGAATAAAAATGTATTATCTCATTCAATGAAATTTCATAGTATAAAAATATGTTGTAGTAGTTCAAATAAACGTTATGTATTTTAAGTTTTTAGACAATAGAAATGAAACTCAAACCAGAAAATACGTTATTTTAAAATACAGATTTATTATTCCGATGTAGAAAGCAATCAAAGCATTGTATGTTTTGAAGAAAAAGTAATTAGTTTTTTTACATTAATATGGCGAATGTTTCAATATTGCCCGAGGACTATGAAGGATTAAAAAAGGAGTATTTAGTAGTAAAAATGAGGTTGGACTGTGTTAATCAGGACCTGCATGAAAGCAACAGACAGTTAAAAATATACGAAGCGCTACAGCTGGATTATCAAGGTGAAATTGAAATATTACAGGCAGAGGAGAATTCTCGTAAGCTTAAAGAAGAAGAAAAAATTGCCCAACTGGAGGAAAATGTCAATAATGTAAGATCAAAATATAATAAACAAATCGAAGCACTAGAAATTAAATCGACTTTGAAAGAAGAGGAAATCAAAAAATTGAAGGCCGAGATAGAATTTCTGAAGAAAAATACTGGTACGCAGACACCCGCCGATGATGAGAATAAGTTACTAGAGGAATTAATAACCTTAAAGCATGAAATTGAGGTTCTATTGGAAAAGAATGAAGAATTAGAATTATCCGTAGATATACTCCAGAAGAAATGTTTTTCATTAGAAGAAGCTTTCACTGTGAGTATAAAGTTGTTTTAATTTATTATTTTTAGTAAATGTTAGTAATGTTTTTAAGGAAACTAAAAAAGAATCGTCTAATTTAAAAGAAAGCTTGTCTTGTAAGAGAGAAGAACTGATGGAAGCAAACTATTTGATACAGAAATTAAACGATGAACTGTTCTGTCTTAAAAGCGAGTTAGAATCGTACAAGAATAAGCCACTAAATACAGAGAGTAAAGGAAACTCGTTATTTGCTGAAGTAGATGACAGGTATGGATTTTCATTATATTAAAAGTGCATTTGTCACGTTTTTTACATTTGTTACAGGAGAGTATATTTACAAAAAACTATTAACACTATGAAGTCTGAATATATTGCCATGAAGCAAGAACGTGCCAAACATTTAAATACGATCTCTCATCTGAAAAAAGAAAATAAAACGCTCTGTGAGCAATGGAAGATGGACATGGAGGAAAAAGAGGACGACCAACATATGGTGATTAAATCCTACAAGTAAGTTAATCGTTTTTATTTAATTATTTAATTTTTTCCATTCTGCTTTTTATTTAGGGATCAAATTCAAATTCTGGAAAACCTGTTGGAGAAATACAAAGAAGACTTGGCCGCTAAGCCGGTGCTCATTTCTACAGGCACATTCGACGAAATCGAATTCTACCAGATAATGCTCAATAACAAATTGTAAGCGTAGTAATAGAAACATTCTTCCGATTTTCGTGTAATGTTTAAATTTTCCTTAGGAAAGAGCTGGAGGAACTGCGAGACCAGTTCAGATCGAGGGGTTTAACCCACACGTTACTATCCACCGCCCTGAAAGAAGCGAACAAAGAGATACGGAAGTGGCGACTAGAGGCCACTTTGAAGCAGTGCCAGCTGGAGATTCAACCCGGCGATACAGTGTCCGAGAGCACCGTAACGGAGAAGACAAACGAAGTAATGGGGGAGCCGCGGATCGAATTGAAGCCTACCAAGAAGGGGCCTCACTTGGCATGCAGGAAGGAAGACAGTTGGGTGATGGAAAGGAGCGTGGTTGTAAAGAAGGAAGACGAAGAACCAGCGAAAGAAGTTAAAGAGGTCATTACTATAAACGATAGCATGGACGATCTGCAGGTCATCAGGTCGGGCCTTGACGAGAACCAGGAAAGTCACGAAGAGAAATCAGATCACGGTATTTTGAAAAACGAGAATATCGTAGCAAAGACCGAGGACCATAAAGATACTTACGTCCAAGAGGATCCTGTCTGTTTGGTAGGAAAGGTTCGGGATGACGAAGGGAAAGAAAATATTTGTGAGAAAGCTCCGAGGAAAGTGACGTTCTCGCAGAGCACCGTGTCACCCAAGGCGACGGACAGGACCAATTTAAGGGCTAATTGTAGGCGAATTGTGGGACCCAAACCCATTTATATACCCAGCGAGTAGCATCTGTCTTGTTTTTATAGAGCATGGTTATTATTTGAAATAAATTTGAAGTTTGAGTATTTTCTTAATTTATTTTCAGTTCGGTAGGTACGATGTATTTTTAAATAAATTAGTAGACTGCGACATCCTAAGAATTCAACTAAATCGTTATTGTCGGATGCATTAGTTACTTTACCTTGCAGAGTAAGTGCACGTTGGCTGCATTACACAAAAAACATAATACAGTTACATAAATACATAACCTTTTTAATAAAACAGCATAAACACCCCGACCAAAATTCAAAACAACCTAAAAGGAACTTTGTGACGTAAATGTCTCTATATTCATATTTGACACTTGACAGCTTTGACATTTTTAACACGCACAGTAGAAACAGGACAAAGAAAAATGGATGGAAACCAAATTGTAGACGTATACGAAGATGATGAGGTTGAACGTGTTTCTCAAACACAGTCAGATCATAATTCGCCTAGTGCCCCCAGTGGTGAAAGCGCTGTCACGCCGGCAAGATCTCGAGTACGTTGTAATTATTCGTGTATCTTCTTTCCCATTGTTTTTATTATTACAGTAGTAGGAATTGCAATGTTAATATATTTTAAAGCTTCTGGCTACCATCATCGACATTCAAAGGAAGAGAAGAGGACACGGATCGTATCTTCTTAACTTCTTCAATTCTGTACATCTGTCAGTGTTGGTCTGTGGTACAGAACATCAGAAGTCAGAACAAGAATACAATTTTTGGGGTTATGTATTGCGGTTTGTTTTTTTTTTTGTATTTTCTTGGGTCTTTTAAGCAAAACTGTTTTACATCAACATATAGTGTAATTTTAATATGTTAAGTGCAAGAATTCTAAACTGTTGTAAACTATTTAAATATAAGAAGTGGTCAACTACACTGCTAAATGCTGAATATGTATTGTCTACTCAACCTGCCATTCAGTCCACACATGAAAAATATGAGAAACAACTAAAAGATTTTGAAACTCTGACTACAGTTATTAAGAAGAAAAGACAAAAAAAACCTCAAAGGCCCCCTTTTGCGAAAAATCTCTTTCTAGGGGTGTTTGATACAGATGTTTTATCTTATCCAGAACTTGAAAAAGAAGATATCGATTGCATTGAACCGGCAGCCGCTGCTGTAGAAAAACTGATGAAGCAAGAACATATGGTCAATTGTAACACATTATCTGATAAAAATTTTAGGCAAAATTTGTCCGATTATAAAACAATTGGTCTTCAAGCTCCTCAATTGATGGACGGTAGGGAATGTTCTGTTACAGAAAGCAATAAATTTTTGGAAGTACTGTCGTGTCATAATTTAAGAGATAACATAATATTTAACGAACAGTTAGGTGTCCAGATTCTAGTAAAATTTGCAAATGATCAGCTGAAGAAAAAATATCTCCATGGAATAATGAAAGGTGATAGCATTAGTTGCTTTTGCATGTCCGAAGCCGACTTACCTGAAATTACTTCCATGAGAACCAAAGCCGTGATATCAGATGATAAAAAAACTTGGGTAAGGCAAGACGCTTTCGACTAAAACTTTCGACGACCTTGTAATTTTCAGATTTTAAATGGGGAGAAAGCGTGGGTTGTTAATGGAACTTCAGCTAACCTATTAATCGTTTGTGCGATGACGGAACTTGTTGTCAGAGACCTCATTAAAGAACCAAAATTAACCTTGTTTATAGTCGATAGGAATTCCCCAGGTGTATCTTACACCAAAGTGGACACAAATGACGTAGAAATGGCTAATATTAGTTTTGATAACACGCAAGTACCAAACGGTAAGGAAACTGACGTATACTGTGTAAAAAAATACCATAAAAGTAAATTTTTTATTAGAAAACGTTATTGGTAAAGTAAATAAGGCTGACGTCATTTTATCGTCTATTATGAACGAGTTCAGATTAAGCTCTGGTGCAGCTTGCATTGCAATAACCAAGCAAATTTTAAATCGACTCGCTCTGAGCATGTTAGAACAATCCAACGATTCGAATATGTTGTACAAAACGGATGCTGTTAGAGGGAAAATTGCTGAAGTAAGTAAAAGTTTCCTGATTAAAACTGCGTTATATAACTACGTTTTTCCTTTACCGCTTTTAGTTGACTACAAAGTTGTACGCAATGGAGAGCGTATTGTATTTAACGACGGGTCTCATCGATTCTTACGAGAATCAGGACTGCGAGCTCGAAAGCGCCATAGTTAAGGTGGGTCGAGGAAAAGTCAACATTATAAGGGGTCACGACTGCTTCATTTCCAATTTATTTCAGATATTCTGCTCCCAAAGTTGCTTAACCGCCTCCTTAACCGCCTTGGACATGGTAGGTATGCCGGCTATATCCGAATCGCACTGGGCCAGCAAATTTCATAAAGATATCACGAGACATCTGTCTTTGCACGAAACGAACGACAGCTTGGAAATAATGACCGCACTTTTCGGATTACAATTCGCCGGGGTAAGTTTCGATTAAAATCCGTTTTATTATTTACCGAAGTAAGCTTGTAGGTGCAACTCAACGAGAGGATAAGCAAGATCCGGAACCCGTTGTTCCACGGAAGTTTCATTTTGAGGAGAATGTGGACTGACAGGAGAAACGTCGGAGACGACCCTAAGTTGGATTTACGGTTGGGGGATTATCTGCATCCCTCCCTGGACATTGCTTCCAAGCATTTAGAGTGAGTATCGGAAAAGCGTAGGGACTTCGGATGAGTTCTCGCTTGTTACAGGTATTGCGTGAAGAGACTGGAATTTGCGACGGAAGTTCTTCTGGCAAGGTTCGGGCCCGACGTCGTTAACCAACATATAGATTTGCGCAGAATAGCCGAGTGTATTATAAATATATACGTTATGACCGCGTGCTTGGGTAAGTACCGTGGCATAGAATTCAGTAAAAACGATTTTTTTTTTAATAATTTTTATGTTTGAAAAACTTGTCCAAGATAGAAATGTAGGGGAATACCGGGATATCGAAAACGGTCAAAGATACAGGGTGGCTCAAAATTTTATCATTTCATCACTCGGGATCCATTAAAACATCAGTTATTTTTAAGTTTTTAAAGACAGTATGTCTAAATATGAACTAATGCACAAATAACAGACTTTCCCCCATTTTAACGCAGATTTTCTATAAAATGGAGTTAGTTTGAAACTTAAATTATTTTTTGGTGAAAAGAAATTTGTAATTTACTTGTTCAAAAGCGGCAAATTACAAATTTCTTTACAACAAAAAGCAATTTGAGTTTCAAACTAACTCCATTTGATAGAAAATCTGTGTTAGAATGGAGGAAAGTCTGTTATTTGTGCATTGATTCGTATTTAGACAAACCGTGGAATAAAATCTATAAAAATGTAGTGCTGGTTGCTTATTTGCGTCTCTATTTTTACAAAAAATTATTGATGATGTGAGAAAAAAATACGGAAATTAGTATTAATTTTATTATAGGGAGAGCCTCGAGGTCATACTGTATAGGCCTTCAATACAGCAACTACGAGATGCTCATTGCGAGCGCCTTTTGTTCCGGGGCGATGGAAAGAGTGAAGGCCAACGTGAAGAAGATAGTCGAGGGGGAGCATGTTACCAACGACGAGAATTATAGGGCGATATCGAAACGTCTCTTCCAGTCGAAGGAATATTTCCTGAAACACCCGTTGTCTCGGAATTTTTAAGCGAAATGTAAATACAGTATTTATCTGTTGAGAGATTAAAGTTTTTGTTATCGTCTGTCTTTTTTTTTTTAATCGATTGATTAAGGTGTGTGTATGTGGTGAAACTTTTGAAAATAAATTTTTTTTTACTAACTTTTTCCAAAAATGCCTCGAGTTAAAATAAATTATAATTTTTAATATTCTTAAAGGTTGTTTATCTACAACTAATACTATTGCAGAAAACAGAAAAAGAAATATTGGTACCGTTCATAAATGATTGCAAGTCAGTGACCGTCTCTAATATAGGCAACCAACATTGCACGGTTGGCACTATCAACCACAAATACCAAAATCCTAGCATCACCCATATTAATGATTCGTTTACGATGAACAATGACAAACTGTGATGTTTACACTCGAGATAATGCAATCGCTGATAGGTTGAATAGAATTTCTTGAAAAATTACAGCAATCGTCAGTCGATGAAACAGAATGTTGGGTTTTAACTTGAAATTAAAACGCTAGTTTATTATTTATTTGTTTCGATACTAAATCGCTTTATTATAAAGCATACTTTTAAAGTATATACAGTACGTTCAAACAATCACATGTTTAAAGGACGTTTTTACCCTTAAGGATAAAACATAAGCGCGTTTTGAAGCAGCCTGAGTGGTGAGGATTTGCAGAAAGTTCTCGACGAGGGGCACGGGTATCGTCTCAAGCATTCCGATAGGACTCTATCGCATTCGCACAGCCTGCTTGCACAGGAACCCGGTCCTCCGAATTCTCCGTGGTCTACAGCTGAAAAAAAAACACTTTTATGGTGAACAGGAATCAAAGTAAACCATTTTCAGTCGTTTTAAATAAAACATTATCTTGATTCTATTAAATTTATTTAATTATTCTAACATACCACATATTGGACGGTTGTAGTAACATTTCCAAAAATAAGGCACGATGTATTCAAGAAACATGGGACATTTTGCTTTATCGTAGCACCAGTCGTGCGTTTTACAACACCTACAATTATAAAGAATATGAAAAATATTTATGCATCCTCCAAATATAATTATTTTTTCCAAATTTTCCGAATTCAAAAACAATACAAAGAAATCTTTTCGAATCATTGAAATCGTATCACAAGGTTTACAAAATACATGTTAGGTGGCGTGTAGTTCAATTGTTACAGTTTAGTGACGCGCGCTTGAAATTGCTGTAGAACAAACATCTATCGCGATTTTTACTTATAAAACCAGAAAAAAATAGTGTTAACAGAAAAATATTAATCATCCATAGTCTACTTTTTTACGATTACGCGAATTTAAACTGCTTTGGCGTTTTTAAACGGTTGAACTAGACGTGCTGTGATTGTGACTGTACTTTTCAGTTTTTGTGCATTTTTGGTATTTCGGTAAGTACCTATTGATTTTGTTTATACAAGTGACCATTGTAACAGTATAGCAGCGTCAGTATACGTAAAAGGTAGCTAATTAAAGTACCATATTTAAGTTGATTTTTCAAATTAACTTGGCAGGTAGCAACAAGGACTCCAAAGTTGCCTAGTTTAGCCGCTAGGGGGCTAGAGGGCGTCAAAGGTGCTTTTCCCAAATAATTTTAAAACGCTTTTGTCACATTTAAATGAAATTTGGTATGATAGTACTTAGGTATAGCTGTTTTATATTGAGAATTTGTTCATGAATAATTCACGAAGATTTTCATGATTTACGTAATTTATCAATTTATTCATAGAGGGTTTGATTTTACATTGTTTTAAACTTCGTAAATTTCTTTGAAACAAAAACAGCTGCTTGCTGCTACCAACTTTGCAAGCAAGTCGTAGTAAATAAAGACAAACTGAAAATGGATACATTTTCTTGAATAAGTTGGGATTATTTTTTTTTAATTAGATAACAAGGAAAAAAATTGTATCTCTATAAAAAACGTGCTAAAGTAAATAATATGTAGGTAAATAACTTAACCTCAATATTTTTGTTGGTACTTCTAAACTTCATTTTACGAAAATTGGAACATGTTCTAATTTGTGAAGAACTTCATGAAAATGTTATTTGACAGCAAATTTGGTGCATGTGAACTGCTCGTCCAGTTTCTCACGAAGTGACTTCATGAATTAATTCATGAATAAATTCATAATGTAAAACAGGTATTATGCAAAAATTTCACTCTATTAGTAGCAAGTGATAGCAATTTCAGTTCGTATTTCGTCATAAAAACTGACTTTTGACAAATACTTAATATTAAAATATTTGCTCTTTTTTTTGTGTTTGATAATAAATATCAAATAACGCTTTGTGGATTTTTGAAACTTGCAATCGCCATTATCAGTAACCCATAATTCAGTAAAAAATTATTGTCGCTCCCATTTAGGATTTTCTTCAGTTTGCAAATTATAAACAGTAGTTTCTCATCGAATTAATCTAATTTGGTGTTTCTCAAATAACTATAATTACAGAGATTTAAATTTGATAAAGTCACAAATTACAAAAAGGAAGAATATAATAAATCCGACACCATGTGCAGATAGTAGCATCAAAATTTAGGTGATTGTTTTAACTAATTCGGAAATTAGACTAGTGAATAAAAATGTAGTGACATTTGGCACGTGACTATCCAGAAAAAATCTAGATACGTACAATGTAGAAGCTGAAGTTTGTTTTGCGTAAATTAAAATATCCGTAAATGTGTAAATAAAAACAATATCCATCAATTATGGACACAGGCCATTCCGAACACTTGCAATACGGTGTAAACAATAAACCACGGTAATAAGAGCACTATGAAAACCACAATAATACTGTAGAAATAGACATTTGTCAAATTAAATTAGCTGAAACCACCATACATCCCCGTAAGTCGGGAATAACGATGTACAGTGGTCACAAAATGTATGCCGCACGGATATCAAAACGCAATTTTCCCGTTAGAGGTCGTAACCTGCTATTAGAGGGACGTAACTTCGCCGCATTTAAAATTTAACATCGTTATCGGCACATTTGCGTTTTTTTCCGATTTTAATACACCCTCCGCGAGTAAGGGTAAATGAGTGCGGGCCCCACTCACCTGTCTATCCCATCGACGGCGTATCCGGATCCTAAAAAGCCGCAGTAACACCCGTAGCCTTTGTAGGCTAATGGGTTGCAGCCAGTAGCGCAACTAACCATATTATACAAATGAAAAACACCCCGTTTTGTCCGTTGTTCTTTGGGGAGGCCCGGGGACCGGCCCCCCTTTTCGGCGTACCCGGAATGATTAACTGACAGCAGGTCGAATTTTATTTGGCTCAGGTTTGGTGCTTTCAAGGCCTGTCCTTTTAGGTAGAGGGTTCCCGTCGAGTTCAATCTGGAAAAGGTGGAATGGGTTATCAATTGATGAGTTAGTTTTAATGGAAATTATAGCACTTAAAGGTAAAAAATGGCAGAGAAAGAGAAAATTTTCAAGTTTTTTTGGCGACGTTGAATGTTGCCCGAGAAACATTGGCTGAGCTGGAACAAATAAATAAATAAAAATAGCATATTGTCAAGATTAAAACGAGTTCTTAGTTCGTAATTGATTTATTAGTGCAAATTTGTCAAATATCTATACGTATAAGTTGTAGCAGAGAATGGCCACTCAGCATAGTCGATCGAAAATCGCTCATGTTTCCAATCCAATACTAAAGATCGCCCGCAGTGCTCTGAAGACATGAAGTCTGTCACAACAGCCACCCAAACAAGTTTAATCTAATAATTGGCTGTGGTGATTTAATTTTTTCCGATATGCATGCATATCGAGATCAGAGTTACTCCTATTGACCTGGGTGGATCTGTTTTGAGGAGGATGTGAGAGGGGGGCAAGCAAATTTTTTCTGGATTACCTTCAGTACAACTCACATAATAAAAGTGGAGATCCCCAGATCTGGGCGAGGTCCGGAACATTTTCAAAATTGCAAAAATGTTGAAAAATTTCAAGAAATACCTATTTTATCTGAGTTTTTTACTTATATCTTGGAACCTATGCATTTTGGAAGAATATTGACGAGGAAAGAAAGTTTTAGAATTGAATTTTGCACAGTATACTGTAAGTTAAAAATATTTAAATTTATTACCGATGTTGCAAAATAGCAATAATTGATGAAAAAAGGCAATATTATCAAGTTTTTTTGGATAATTTTTAAAAAATATTTTAATTGTTCCGAGGGCATTCTAATTTTGGTAAAAACAACTTTAGAGTATAATAAAATAACACATCAAATTTCATTAAAATCGGTTCTATAGTTTTCGCAAAATAATTATTTGAAAAAAATTTGGAAAACAAATTTTCAAAATGTTGCACAGCCTCAAATAAAGCATGTAGATACTTGAAAATTTTTTCACATAGAAAAGACCGCTCAACCTTTCAAATGGTTTTTGAAAAATTGAAATCGGTTGATTAGGACGACCACAGTAAATTTTTAAAGTAAACACTGTTTTTTTATATTTACACAATTAGATTACATTTATCTATTTTCAATTGAGTTTTTTTCAAAAACTATAGTTTTAAAGTACCATTTTTTCTTAATTTTATCTGTATTTAACAAAAAAGTTACTTACCAAATAATTTTTTTTTAATTTGTTTAAACAAAAATTATTTAAATAATTGTAATAATTATAACTGAATACATTCATATTCAGAGTGTTGAAATATATACGTAAACAAATATTTTCATTAAAAAAATGCAATAGCATAGGGTAAAATATACAGTATGTTTAATGCATAAATAATAAACTTTGTTTATAACAAAATATGTGCAAATTAGACAGTTGGCATTAAGATATTCGAATTCCTTGGCTCGCGAGACATCGGATTTCAAAAAAATATCGAAATTGGTCCATTAGAAGCCGAGATAATGCAATTTTTTTCGTACCTTCGCATTTTGAACCTCCGAATTCAGTCTCGAGGCGAAAGCCCCCTCCCCCACTTTTCGTGTTTTGAATCACATTTCGCGCGTGCGAGCGACAGCTTTTCCGCTGATTTATCTATGTTGCCGATAACTTATGAATATGAACATTTTTTCCAGCTCAGAACTCGGAAAAACGAAGCCACTGAATCAAAGATTATTGCTAAATTGTTTATAAATTAACGGTAAATATCCATAAACTTTGACCGCTTATATCTCGAGAACCAATAAACGGAATTTAACTTTTTTTTTAAAGAAGCGTCTTTCCGAGTACTTTAAAATTATAATTTTTGAAAGAAACTAAATTGGAAATTGATAAATGTAATATAATTGTTTAAAAATAAAAAAGTGTTAACTTTAAAAAATTACTGTGGCCGTTCTAATCAACCGATTTCAATTTTTCAAAAACCATTTGAACGGTTGAGCGGTCTTTTTATGAGAAAAAATTTTCAAGTATGTAGGTGCTTTATTTGAGGCTGTGCAGCATTTTGAAAATTCGAAAATTCTTTTTCAAAAGATTATTTTGCAAAACTATCGACCGATTTTAATGAAATTTGATGTGTTGTTTTATTATAGTCTAAAGTTTTTTTTACCAAAATTATAATATCTTCGGAGCAATTAAAATATTTTATAAAAATTATCCAAAAAACTTTATTATTTTGCCTTTTTTTCATCAATTATTGCTATTTTGCAACAGCGGTAATAAATTTAAACATTTTTAACCTACAGTATATTGTGCAAAATTCAAATCTAAAATTTTTTTCCTCTTCAATATTCTTCCAAAATACGTAGGTTCCAAGACATAAGTAAAAAACTCGGATAAAATAGGTATTTTTAAAAGTGTTTTAAACATTTCTGCAATTTTAAAAATGTTCCGGACCTCGCCCAGATCTAGGAATCTACATTTTTATTACGTGAGTTGTACTGAAGGTAATCCAGCAAAAATTAGCTTGCCTCCTCAAGAAGTAGGATATTTCGACAGATCCGCCCTGGTCTACTAGTTCTGGTTTGGAAAATGTCATTTTGACAGTTCTTCGTCAAATTGCGGGTTGGTAGCGGAATACTTACAGTTTTCCTTTTTTCATTTTCACGGAAGGTCCAAACATGTTATCGGCATACGTTACTAGAATGTTTACATCCTGGAGAACCTGTAAGTTTTCTGGTGGATTTGAGACAGGTACCCAACCGTATTCACTTCCTGTTTTCTCGAGAGCCTTATCTAAGGCACCAAGAACAGTATCTGAAAAGATATTCATATTTTATCAATCAGTTATAGTTCTGAATGTCATAATTGTATTTTAGGGAGTTGCCAATATATTTCGGAGTACCCTATGTGCCTACAGAAGGTTTAGATTTACTTTTAACTATTTTTATTTCAGATTAAATTAGGTTAGGTTCATAGTATTCTGTATCACCCTATTCCACGAATTTCGATCCACTTTCCCCATCTAACTATTTTCCTATTTCTTATAGTTTCCAAGATACCAATGCATGCATAACCGAAATGGTCCACACGGTATTTCCTGTCGAGCGAGGCCTATCTACGCGAAATAACAATAACAGTACAATTAAAAATTGGGATAGCAATAAAACCACGCTGACCATCAACCTGCATAGCCGATTTACCGGGGTGTATGTAAAAATTATGTTGTAGTTGAATTAAATGGGGTTGTAAATCTAAAGAACGAACGGCGCTTCTGTAATTTGTGAGCAGTTTTGTGCAATACATGATTTGCAACGGCAGTAAATTGCGTGGAAACGGTTTAGAAAACTTGTAGTTTAAACAACAAGTGTTTTCAATTTATACGACACGTTTTGCGTTTATCTAATGCGATTACCATAATCGAATGCGAAGAAATGCAGTCAAGGTCATATTGTCTAGATCTTCTTTATATTTTCTTTATTATTTTCGCGATAAAAACTTTTTTATAGAAATGAATATAACGAGCGTTCAAATAAAAACGTGGTCGAAGTTGGCTCTGACACATTAGACGTAGGTCGTAGCTTATAGTGACCAACTTAACCTCATTTCTCAACGAGCTGTATAGCAGCTGTCAGTTTCAATAACAAAGCGGCGATATAGCGCTTTGACAGATGAGATGACGTTTAAGTTCATTTGCTATACGCTACGCCCTACGTCCAAATTTTACATATTTTAACTAAGTTTTTAATTCTTCCGAATATTGCATATAATCAAACCAAACACTGGCTCTTTCCGAGAATTGATGAACGGACTGATATCTAATTCATTACGATTAGAAAGGATTACTTGGATTCCCACGAAGTGTATTCACCCACTATCCAATAATGCTATATGTGTACTTATTATGGCAACTGAATTTAATATCCCCGCAGTTCTAAATGGTGAGGGTATTGTTTCCCAGTGTATTAATATGACAGCTAATTAATTTATCAATGTTGTGTGTGGTAAATGACAGAATCAGTCTTAAAGGGGGAATCATGAGATTAATCTTGATCTTATCTATTATGCGGAATCTTTGCGTTGATGTGAACTCGGTATTATTGCAAAACTTTCAATAACTGGTTTTATTGCTGTATTCCGAACTCCGAACATAATAAAACAACGACGTAGTAGTTCGGTGTAGACCATTAGAATTTTTAGACAATGGAAATACATCGATTGAGGCAAGAAATTGAAATATAGGTTAGATCTGTTAATTTTTCCGATCGAATGCAAGTTTTTACTAAATAAAATTTTGTTCGATAACCGTGGAGACTTTAGACGAAGTTGCTCGTCTAAATTATAGTTAAATTTTCTTTTTCAATTGCCAATAAATACAAGTCTTTGAATTTCGTAACTTGATCTTAAACATAACCTCACTATCGTTTATTACTGAAGTGTATTTCCTAAACGATTTGATGTATATTTCATCAACGATTTGATGGTACGGTTAAAAGTAATTTGTAAAAGGTATAGTCAATTTTTTGAGTTGATTTAAAAAAAACATTCCAAACAAAGATCATGTTGCAATTTTTTTATACAAGTATACTCTTGCCTATACTACTACAAGATGCTAAAGAAAATAGTTGTGTTTTCAACAGTCTAACATAATATTTTTATTTCAGTGTCACCCTAAATGCAGCCTAATAGGACACCCACAATGGTTTAGTGATGAAAGAGTGCTAGTGATAGTGACTGTAAGTGACTGCGTAATCGGATTTATGTTGATTGCTTCCTTGGAAGAGGAGACCTAGGTTTGAGATCTCCAGGATATCAAATGTAGATCTTGGGTGGGTCAAATCTTCTGAGGAATCTATTGTAGACTCACCGATTTGGCGAATCGCGAGTGAATGTTGGGGACACGTTGGTTGAAGTTCAATGGTAAGTTTTCTTTTTGCACGATATTATGTATGTGTGTTTAGGTAATTCCTAGAAACAGACTGTTCTCAAGGAATTTACTTAAATTCAGGATGTTCAGAACGATTTCAAAACAATTTACTCTGTAGAATGTACATCAATGATAATATTTGAATGAAGAGAATTTATCAGATTATTTTTTTTAAACAAACATTATATTGGTATAAAAATGTGTAAAATTTTTATTTTCTGATACGAATTTAAATATCACAGGGATTCTTTAAATTTAAATTTTCAACATCCTCAGTTTTACGAATTTACCTGATTTTTTTGCGCACCTATTTATGCAAACTTTTTCTTTTTTTTCATCACTCAGTATAAGGATTACCTTTGTTTACAGGGTGTTAGAAATTTGACTGCCTTAATTTTAACAGACGATAGAATACATTAAAATAAACAAAAACACCTTATATGACTTGGATCCTAAACTCAACCATTTCCGAAATAAAAATTATCAAAATGTGGTGGACATTTTGAGCATATGTTGTTTGTTTTGTATTTGTGCGTTTAAAAATTACTGAATTTTGCTTTTTGGACGACGTGAATCTTTGGGTAGTTTAATTAAATATATATTTTTCAAATTCATAATTCGATTAAAACTTAAATTCCTGTTTTATAATTACTAAAATTCTAGCTAAAATTTAAGCACAACACTATCTTCGCACTACAAAATCGATACATTTTGTTTTATTTATTTAAAAACTGGAAAACGATTGTCTTGAAATTTACTAGATGTTTCACAATAATAGTTGTTTACATTTTTTCCGTAGGACAAGTCTGCCGCGTGCACACGTATGCAACAGATGTTTAGCGATAAGTTAAGTGCTGTTGTCACGTTGTGATGAAATCTCCCCAATATTAATACTCGGTGTATTTTGAAAACTGTTAATCTTTAGTTAGTTTATTTGAATACAAATTAATTTTGTAGCGCCTACACATGGTGATATCTACAAACACAAATCTCGCCTTCGTTGTTTGTCTTTAAGTATACAATTTATTTAATGAAAACAAAACCGTTTTCTTTAAAAAATGTTTTCTCGGTGTAATAAAGTAAAATCTGACATAAAAGAATTCTTAAAACAACGTTCTACGGTATTTAATTTGGTATAACAAAATTGGTACTTAATTTTTAACTTTCCAATTGTTATTCTTTTATTTCTTGATGGTTGAGGGAACTTTTATAAAAGTCAACTTGCGATAATTCCCGAAAATAAGGCGACTGTTTCCAACATAGCTATTTATAAGTGGTGTGACTTTGTTCCGAATAAAAATTCACATTTGGTTTTTTATATTAGCCAAAGGTTCGGGAAAATTTTACTTTCTTATTGACTTTTAGCATAAAAAGTTAAAGCAGTATTTTTTAGACTTTCTTTCTACGAATGGTACAAATTAATAATGTCTAAATTTCTTCTTCTTAAAAAATACCATGAAGTTTGCCTGTTTCTTACTAAATTTTCATTTTGGATTAATTACACAAAAAGTGTAAAATTATATGCTTAATGTAAAATGTAACTTCATTTGTATGACGTAATTTTGCTTTACCTGCTGTGACCATGACCGAGTGTGTAATTTTACTTAAAATTTTTATGAGTGTTTCTGTTTACTTACCAAAAAGAATCACATAAAAAATAATCCACGTGAGCTTAAAAACCATATCGAAATCACCCATATTCTAATTTCTCTTTACTGACATCTCGCAACGTGAATCGAAAATGACCCGCATATTTCGCGAACTATTTTTTTTAGAAGCAAGCTAGTGCCGCAAAAAATTTCACGGGTTATTAATGAGAGACCGACTTACAACGTTTGTTGTAAAGCGGCAACGCAAATAGTTTGTTAAATTGTCCGTAAGTAGGCGGAACGACGCCGCTGTTTATGCCGAATAAACAATAGCGTTTGAAGTGAAACTGAAATTTGTCCTGGCCAGGAAAGAAGCAAATTCACCACTGGGAGTATTTCACTCGAACACTTCCCCTTTCGTTCTCATATTTCGTGCGTTATTAACCAGTTCATTGAGATCTAAAAGGACAATTGTACCTGTGTATGAAATTGCGGTAATTAAGCTGTGACAAATGAGTGCCCAGCTTTAACTTTCTACTGGAACTTCCGTTAAGCTAAGAGGGACCTCTTCGGCGGATCTGATAGGGACCGAACTTAGCGTTACACTGAGAAAACAGATAATTTATTAATTATTACTGAAAGTATTGGGAGAAACAACATTTATTAGAGTAAATTAAATAATTTATTTGTATTTGAAGAAGTAATATTATTGTTAAAGAATAAATTTATTCCCAAGAAGTTCTTAAATATTTTATGTATGTATTAATTTCCTTTTCTTCCCAAACAATGTACCTAAATGTTAAACAATTTTGTCGTTGATATGCATAGCAGTCACGATAACTATAAGGTAGTATATATAATAGACTATTCTGATTGTGTAAGCATTTGTTTTACTGAGATAGATCATTAATGAACGTAATAGAGAATGAAACTATCGTCCATTGTATTTATTTGGTAATATTATATTGTTGATGTAATGAGGTACATAACGAGGATGGAATAATTTTGTTGCAAATATATCTTCTCAAAATTTAGTCTACTTTTACAGTAAAAAGAATACCATCAACATACAGATCAATTGGTTTAATATATCGATTTAAGCCACTGAATTTCGATTTCAAGAAATTAAATTTTTAATGCGATCGATAGAACCGTTTTCCTTTCCTGAATCGTTATTTTTCTCACAATTTCACGTTAAATACTCATCAAATATAGAAAAAAAAATAAATTTTGAAAAAAAAAAAATTGTTGTGATCTTTTTGACAATTTTCCATTGAATATTTCAAATATCGAGAAATAAGGGAAATTTGAAATTAAAAAAATAATCGAATTTTGCTTTTTAAATTTAAAAATTTTTTTATTTCTCAACATTTGAAAATAAATATTCAATGGAAAATTGTAAAATAGAGGACGCAAAAATTACAATTTTTTTTTCAAGTTACAAACTAAAAAATCGCTGAAAGAATTTGGAATTTTTTCTGCTCCTAATTTTTTTATTAAATTAAAAATAAAAAAAAATAAATTTTGAAAAAAAAATTGTTTTAAAATTTTTAGAAATTCTTTTGCGTGATCTTTTTGACAATTTTTCATTGAATAATTCAAACGTCGAGAAATAAAAAAAAATTAAACAAAAAAATATCAAAATTTGATTTTTTAAATTTCAAGAATTTTTTTTCTCGACATTTGAATATTCAATGGAAAATTGTAAAAAAGAGGACGCAAAAAACCAATTTTTTTTTCAAAATTTTCAATTTTTTTTCTCCATTTGATGAGTATTTAAGGTAAAATTGTAAGAAATATAACGGAAAAAAATTGTTTCATCTTAATCATTTTTTTTTCTCGATATGGCCATTATTCACGAAGTTACAAACTTTCAAAAATAGCTAAAAGAATTTGGAAAGTTTTCTGCTTCCTTTAATTTTTTTATTAATTAAAAATAAAAAAATAAATTGTAAAAAAGAGGACGCAAAAAACCAATTTTTTTTTCAAAATTTTCAATTTTTTTTCTCCATTTGATGAGTATTTAAAGTAAAATTGTAAGAAAAATAACGGAAAAAAATTGTTTCATCTTAATCATTTTTTTTCTCGATATGACCATTATTCACGAAGTTACAAACATTCAAAAATCGCTGAATAAATTTGGAAAAATTTTCTGCTTCCTTTAATTTTTTTATTAAATTAAAAATAAAAAAAATAAATTTTGAAAAAAATTGTTTAAAATTTTTAGAAATTCTTTTGCGTGATCTTTTTGACGATTTTCCATTGAATAATTCAAACGTCGAGAAATAAAAAAAAAATTTAAACTAAAAAAAATCAAAATTTGATTTTTTTAAATTTCAAGAATTTTTTTTCTCGACATTTGAATATTCAATGGAAAATTGTAAAAAAGAGAACGCAAAAATTACAATTTTTTTTTCAAAATTTTCATTGTTTTTCTCCATTTGATGAGTATTTAACGTAAAATTGTGAGAAAGATAACGGAAAAAAATTGTTTCATGTTAATCATTAATTTTTTTTCTCGATACGACCATTATTCAGTTACAAACTTTCGAAAATCGCTGAAAGAATTTGGAAATTTTTCTGAAATTTTGAATATTTTAAACGTCGAGAAATAAAAAATTTTTGAAATTTAAAAAAAGCAAAATTTGATTTTTTTAATTTCAAAAATTTTGTTTTCTCGACATTTGAAATATTCAATGAAAAATTGTAAAAAAGAGGACGCAAAAAACTGCAATTTTTTTTTAAATTTTCAATTTTTTTTCTCCATTTGATGAGTATTTAACGTAAAATTATAAGAAATATAACGGAAAAAAATTGTTTCATCTTAATCATTTTTTTTTCTCGATATGGCCATTATTCACGAAGTTACAAACTTTCAAAAATCGTTGAAAGAATTTGGAAAGTTTTCTGCTTCCTTTAATTTTTTTATTAAATTAAAATGAAAAAAATTAATTTTGAAAAAAAATTGTTTAAAATTTTTAGAAATTCTTTTGCGTGATCTTTTTGACAATTTTCCATTGAATAATTCAAACGTCGAGAAATAAAAAAAATTTTAAACTTAAAAAAAGCGAAATTTGATATTTTTTAAATTTCAAAAATTTCTTTTTCTCGACGTTTGAAATATTCAACGGAAAATTGTAAAAAAGAGGACGCAAAAAATTACAATTTTTTTTTCAAAATTTTTAATTTTTTTTCTCCATTTGATGAGTATTTAACGTAAAATTGTAAGAAAAATAACGGAAAAAATGTTAATCATTATTTTTTTCCTCTATACGACCATTATTCACGAAATTGCAAATTCAAAATTCATTAAAAAAATTTGGAAATTTTTCTGCTCCTTTAATATTTTTGCTCAGTGTATATTAACATTAACAGGACATTTTACATATTAGTTGCTTCAAAGTGATATGCATTAAATGATAAGAGCATCTCTCGACTCGAAACCTTAAAACTGATTTCTGTTATATCCTGTAATATTCAAGCTATTTTTTTCTGAGTGCTTTCGCACCACTTTCCACGCAGCATAAATTCACCTGACTTTTAGATTAGAAGAGCACATTCTCTCGCCCCCTGTCAGTTTTCTATGCACCTGCATTAAGTAGGTGTTTCGCATTTGTTTTCATTTCGCTGATTTTTATCCAACTCTTTACGGAGAGCATGCATATTTATGATCCCTTTATTTCGCTTCTGTGAAAGTGTGTAATCACGTAATCCTTACGTACGCTGCGCCCTATTTTTCATTCTCATACGTTCTAACGCGTTTGAAGCTGTTTTAGGTGCGTTTGGTCGATTAACCCGGCAAGCGAAGCGATGTTTCTGCAGACACATTTATTTACCTAAGGATATAGATTTAAAAAAAATTCAAATCAAAGTAGTTTCTGAAATATTTTATAATTTTTTGATCACGGCTCACTTGACCACTGGTTAACTACGTTTCATAGAACTGGGCCTAAATGTTAGTTTTCGTATTTTTTCCCTTCTTAGTCTGTTCCCTCGCATAAAAGTTAACTTACGGCACTACGCTGAATTGAAAAAACAAGCGCGACAGTTTCAAACGAGTTTTGCTAGGCCTCCCAATGCCTTTTATTCATCGCAGTATTTATTGGTGCAGGCCAATCCTGCTGGCAACAACAACAGCCTAGGGACTGATTGCCATTGTGTCGGATTACAATCCACCCGCGGTCTGTGGGGTCCCCTCCCATGTAGATTCTTTCGCGAAGATGCTTTTCTATCAGCGAACGTATCATAAACAATCAAGGAGTCACTCGTAGTGCCTCCGATTCGTTTTTTTTTAGATCCTCGAGACATGTCGATCTTATAAGACGTCGGGTATTATCTACGCCGAGGTAAATCCGTTTTACTTCATCTTTGTGTATCGAAGTTTGCGGCTCGGGATTAGGGATTCATTTATCCCGTCTTGGGATTTTAAAAAGGATCAGGAGGAGGTGTGTAGGTACGGGGTTTGTGTATATTATGACGCAGGAGGGTAGCTTTTGGCTGGCGGATTTATACGTCTTAGTATTATCTAGAGGGGTATAAAAAAAATGTGGGAATATACACAGTCGAATTTAGAATGACCTATCCGGTCATTAACCTAGCTTTTAATGCGTTTTTAATCCGTAGGCGACATCGAATACAGTTTTCACTGTTTTATAATTGAATATGAGTTTTTAGTATTGTCTCTTACGCTGGTTACGCAGTCTTAATGTTACAGTACTTTATGGAAACTTTATCCAATATAATGTACTTATATCAAATTTACTGACAGTGTTATTCAAAGAATACAGTAAGTGAAATTTTTTTGGAGACTTTTAACACTCTGTATCTCGAATACGGTTAAGATTTCGAAATATACTTATAAGAATACTATTACTTTTATTATTATTTTATTACTATCGATTTTAATAAGTACCATATCTTTTAATTTTTTTTATCTGCTTACGAAGAATAGATTAAAATGGGGACACTCTGTATAATTTCTTTATAGTTAACCTAATTATAAGTGAAACCGAAACATATTTGATGGTAGAACAGCGTTTCAAGCAATTTTCGTTCAAAATGGTGGAATGAATTTTCATCATAAACTTACATCGTTACGTGAAAACGTTATTATTTCGTTGTTAGTATGAAATATTAACCTGTTAGCGTCGGTTTTTGGAAATCGTAATAAACTCGTTGGTTTTATTTGAGAAAACCTTTTAGGGAGAGATCGGCTTTGTTTCTGCTAGCAAATAAATCCTTTTTAATTTTCGGGCTGCTTTTTGTTTACAATTTATGTAATATCTACACCAATCCTTAACGAAGCTTATCTTGCCGTCTTTC